AGGTTCAAGTGACGCTATTTTTGAGTTTTTCAAAACCATGAATTCAAAGCTAATTCGTGGGTTGATTTATCATTGATTTTTGATAGATAAAAATAGTCCAGTGTTATCTGGACTGTACCAAATTGAGGTAGTCAAAAAGTCCACCGAAACGTTTTGGAAAACAGAAAAGTAAAATTACCAGAGATAGCTGACACCCTAAAGATATTAATTGTACGTGATGGACATATTGTTCACAAATATTTGAATAGGAAAAACCTCTGTGCTAAATGGGTGCCGCGCAAACTCACAATTGACCAAAAGAATAACGAGTTGATGATTCGTAAAAGTATTTGCAGCTGTTTAATCGAAATAAAACTGAGTTTTTGCATCTATATGTCATCATGGATATGACCTGGCATCATCACTACATTCCGGAGTCGAATAGACGGTCAGCTCAGTGGTCTAGACACGATGACGAGAAAAAATGCAACCAATCAGCTGGCAAGGTTATGGCGTCAGTTTTTTGGGATACGCAAGAAATGATATTCATCAACTATCTCGAAAAAGGCCAGACCATCAACAGTGACTATTGTATAACGTTATTGGAACATTTGTTGATCAAAATCGGAAAAACCGCCCCATTTGGAAAGAAAACCGTGCTGCTCTATCAGGACAACACACCAATTCACAAATCCGTGAAAACTGTGGCCAAAAAACATGAATTAGGCTCCGAATTGCTTCCTCTCTCACTATATTCTCTAGATCTGTTCCCCAGTGATAATATCCTGTTCTTAGATCTCAAAAGGATGCTCGCTCTGAAGAAATATTTTCCAAATGATGATAGCCAAATCTTGTGGCTAAGTACAAATCGTACTACAAAAATGGTTTCGAGAAGTTCGAAGTTTGCTATAATTATAATTATAGCGAAATATAATTGGTATATCATATTCGAAGAAAACTATATTTAATAAAAAAAAAATTTAGTGTGAAAGAAAAATGTGTCTTTCTTAATTATCCTACGGACTTATTGAGTGAAGTGATATAACAATTAAAATTTGGAATAATGGGCCGAATGGGTCGGTTTATACAAAAACCGACATTTCATTTAACCGGTTTTTGAAATTTATATAAAAAATCAATTTTTGCTCGAATATTCTGTAATAACAAAAAAAATATCGGCAATTTAGTGTGATTTAAAGCAGTTTTAGACTGAATTTATTTAATGTTCAGTTTTATAAAAAGTAAACAAATTTATTTTAATTTTAATTAGTAGAACAAAGAAATAATGATGTGGATTAAATGACTTTGAAAATCATTATTCATCGTTTCACATATCGATTATAAATATTTTTATGATAGTGAAATAAGAGTTTAAATAAATAAAAATAATACATTTTTAAATAAAAAACTTTTAACTTTTAATTAAATAAAAAAAATTAGATACATATTGATACATAATTGTTAATGTAAATTTTTTCAATGTAAATTTTCCGAAATAGAAAATACTCTCTTACTTGCAACCGAACTAAAGTGTGATATAATAATTCTGGAATTTTTTTTCTTTTATTTGTGGAAATTTGAGTAGAGAAATTCACTCATTCAACAAGAAGTCGCATTGATCTAAATTAATATATCCATTGATATAATAATCCAAATTAATATATACATTAGACAAAATATAACAAAGAATCTTTCTGGGATAGAACAGACTGATATGATTTCAAGTTTTATCGAACCAATATGATTCCAAGTGTCAAAAAGCTTACTTCCATCTAGTATATTTGTCATTTTCCATTTCTACAATAAGAACCGTTTTTTTTTTTCGCTAAAACACCGGTTTTCGAATTTCATAATTTTCGTCAAAAAAACGGTTTTCAAAACCGATTTTTAAAAACCGACAAACCCTAGCAATGTATTAATTTGGCTCATGTTTGTTTTTTGTTCGATAATGTGTAATATTTGAACATGCTTGGCAAATTTGCACAAAATTTAATCATTTTCAATAGTTTTTCATATTGCGATGGCCACAGTAACTCGATATTGATTTCTTATTGATCTTAATCCATTAATTACACATGTAGGGAAGTTCAGGAAACTTTGCTTTAAGACAATACGGTACTTAATTTACAATTAGTTTAAAAATGAATACACTTGTTTTTAGACTATCTTCGTTAAATAATGTTAATTATTAAAACGTTTCGAGGCTATGGTTTTATATTATGTTATATTATAAAGAATAATTTTAATAAGTATATTTATACAAGATATGCGGTAACAAACATTGTAACAAAATATTTATCAACAATGTAATTGATATTATATGCATTTGTAAATTGATTCTAAATTGATTAGCAAGGAAATGCGATTACCTGTACCTCATAACTGACAGTAATTTTTTAGCTGTTAGGAAATTATCGACTATATACTACTCGATGGTTTTTCTGTGAAATAACGGTTCCTTATAATTATTTTATAGTTATATATACCCTCATAATACTTTTCCGTGTAAAATAATCAGGTTTTTTGGTTCAGATCTAGGTGAGCGATATGGTTGCATACTTACGCTCTAATAATTATGAAAAATATATTCACTGTTAGGATACTTTTAAAAGGGAGCGAAAGTGACCTAATTATCAATAATATATGATAGTATACTTATTTTGTAGAAATATTTGAATGTAGCACTTGAGACTGTCCTATTATAATTAACTAAGTTTGACAATTATAATAGTACATATTTATAATAGTCTATGTAATTATTTTGCGTATTTAAATCATCCGATCATCATATAGGCAGATCAAATCGCGGTTTTAAGATAAATAAATAAAAAATGGCCATTGATTCACTTCAGTATTCACCACAATGTCTATATAAATCAGGTATTGGAATGCTCTATCTCATTTTCCTTTATTTATGACCATGATTTTGTTTTGTACCTATAATAACATAAAGAACAAATCAGGTATAAGTGGCAGTTTGCCTTAAAGAAAAGTTGCATGTACTTCCCGATATGTGTAACCGACAAAATGAATAAATTTGATATTTGGCTCTTTATATGAAATATTTAAATGATTATTTCTAATTAAAGTTTTTGCTTTTACTAAAAACTGATTAATGTGATTTTCAATTGATATGTTCTAAACAAACGTCGAGAAAACATAAAATCAGCAAATCGGATTTTTTGTGAAAATATTCTTCTCCGGGAATTTAAAAAAAAAACTTTTATTAACTTTCCGAAGGAGAAGTATATGTTCTCATCAAAAAATCCGATTCGCTAATTTTATGTTTTCTCGACGTTTCAAGCCATTCTGAATCGAATGAGACCAAATTTGGAAAAATGTGTGTGTGTGAGTGTGTGAGTGAACATATTTTTAGCCGTAAATCGACGTTTTCTCAAAAACGGCTGGACCGATTTCAATAATTTAAAAGCCATTCGGTGTATCTCGATGAGGACTAGCGTTTGTGCGACGATTGGCCGAACCGTTTCTTTGTAAATCGCAGAAAAGTGAAAAAAAATTCGTCCACGTTTTAGCCCGCAATTCTGAATTGATTTTCGAAACCGTTCGAAAGATATTGGTTGGGAATCGACCTGATTAGTTTTTGGTAAAGATCGGCCAGGGCGTTTTCTTGTAATAAAGGGTTAAAAAAAATTCGACGATTTTTAAGATTTTTTTTTGACGGTAGATACCATAGTCTTATAGATCATACTAAAATATTACGGTCCTACGACAAGTCGTTTAATTTTAAAAACTCGTCAAAGTTTGCAAAAATTAGTATTGTTTTTTTTCGCGTTTGTCAAAATTAGATCTTTCATCGATGTTTGCTCAAAAACGCCTTAACCGATTTCAACATTTAAAAGCCAATCGATGTATTTTGATGTGGATTATATTTTCTCAGTTTGTGCAGCGATCGGCCAAACCGTTTCTTTGGAAAATTTGGAAAAAGCGTTAAACTTTTCGTCCACATGTAAGCTCATACTACCGAATCGATTTTGAAAAATCAAAAACTGTTCGAAAGATATTGTTCGAAAATAAGTGAAAATCTACCGAGCCGTTTTCTTGTAATCAACTGTTAAAAAAAAATTAGGCCGATATTTATGGAACATAAAAATCATGCGATATATATCATAGTCTTAAAGAACTTACTGAAATATTACGGCTTTACGACAAGTAGTTTAATTTAAAAATTCATCAAAGTTTGAGAAAATGAGTAGTTTTTTTGACGTTTGTTACAATTAAAATTAGACGATTTACTTGATATAACGATAGAGTACTTAGTTTTAATGAACATACTAAACCATTAAAGTCCTACAATCCTACGGAAACTGGTACAATTATAAAAATTGTTGATTTTTGAAAGTTCGTTTTCAATTACGTGTAATAAATCCACTCGAAATCCTTTTATAACTCATAAATTAATTTATTTTTTATTGATTTAGTCGATTGTTTACACATATCGGGAAATTCATGTAACTTGCCTCAAGGCAAAATACCAATACCAACTAGTTTCTAAAGTGATTTTTAAAGCTCGTTATAATAATCATGTTCCATTCATATTGCAAAATATCTATACGCCTAATATAGAATTATATTAGGATAGAGCGGAGCTTTATGATGTGCGGGTAAAAAGGCCCACCGTCATTATATCAAAAACAAGTGAAGTGAGAATCTTAAATAATACTACTTTAAAGTATAGGAAAAATGATGTGTAATCAGTCATCGTCTTAAATCGGGCAACATTGCAATAGGGAGATAATCGGCCACATTTCAAATTCTTAACGAAAGTATTTTTTTTTCGTTGTTAGACTTTGTTTTGAGTTTAGTTGTTTAGCTAAGGGCGCCCCCATAAAAATTTTGATGCGAAACCCGCTAATCCATGCTACGTTCCTGTATAATATAAGCACCTTATAAAATTATATCTATAATTACAGCTAAAATATAAAATTATAGTACTACGATTAACAATGCTTGCAGTCATTTAACCTATTAAGTATACCTAATCTATTTTATGTTGGTTTCAGAGAACTGGATGATAATCTTCTGAGGGAGTTTCCGAGGGCTTTATCGACCGTATCTCAATTGAAGGAATTGTAAGTAAATAATCTATTTTTCATGATGATGTTTTATCAATGGCGACGTGCCTAATTGAATTTGAACGTCGTGCAGAAATAACATTCGACATCGAAAGCGTTCGCGGAGCCACTTAGGAATAACTTAATTTACCATTACACATAATTAATAAATGATTATACTTGTGATTGAGAGTATTAAAAACAACTCTCTGAAACAAACATTCTACTTTTTACTTAATCTTGGACTCTACGTCGGTATGGAAAAAATAGATATGATGACTTAACGCATTAAATTATCAAGATTTTATCAAATTGCTAATTGCATTTTTCAAATAAATTCATGTTCAATTTTCGTATATTTTTTAAATTTAATTGCTAATTTTATGTTTTCTCGACGTTTTAAGCCATTCTGAATCGAATGAGACTAAATTTGAAAAAAGTGTGTGTTCGTGAACAGATTTTTGACCTTTCGTCGAAGTTTTCTCAAAAACGGCTGGGCCGATTTAAAAAATGTAAGGGCCATTCGATATAACTCGATGAGGACTATGAGCTGTCGAGCAGTTATTCAGTAATTAAGAGAAAATTGAACATTTTTTGTCCACGTTTTAGCCAAAAATTCTGAATCGAGAAAAGCAGAAGATATAAAAAACTTATATTAAAAAAATTGAACATCTTCTGCTTTTCTCAAACATATGGTTTGTTTAAATCTTATCAAGATCATGTTTCTTGGCAGATGCCCTGAAGATGGAACGTACCTAGTTCCGAAACATCGACAGTAAATAAAGAAATGGTTTTTTAAAATACTTTTTTGTTTTTTATTAATTTTTGTATTTTTGTTTGAAGCTCTACAATATATATATATATATATATATATATATATATATGTATATATATTGTAAAATAATTTAATGTCTACATTATTAATGCCGAAAAGCAGCTGAGATGTGCCAAAAATCAAATTAATATAAGATGCAAATAATATAACATGCATGTGACAAGTGATGCAGTCTGCGCATGCGTCTGACGCGCACGGCGAATCATGTTCTCAACGTACGTAATTTTGCTTGCAATAATTTTGTCTGCGCACTTTGCGAACAGATTCGCCGTACGAATTCGTGAAAAGGAGACGAGCCATAAGTGATTGCGTTAAAAAATATTCAATTTGCAGTCGTTTTGCCTTACTATACTAAGTCACAATACAAAAAAAATTATTTAGAAGTTTCATTGTGTCAAAAATTCATATGTTTGTCATTGGGTACGGAATATTTACTCAATGGAGCGCTTTTGGTCTGAACTTTTTTTTACTATTTTCCAATTCGTTTGGAATTTTGCAACTAGGTTCATCTTACTCTTCAGAAGTGAAAACAATTTAGACTCCTTTACCACTTCTCGGGTGGATGACATTTCTTTTCAGTGGTGTAATTTTACTTTTTTTCAAAATAACGTTGGGTATCGATAAAAGAACTAATTATAAGAGAAAAATGTTTAATAATGTTTTTCAAAAAAGCAAATACTTTTCAAGTTACTGGCTACTGAAATTTTTCTTTTTTGCGATTTTCATCATTTTTTGCTAATATCTTCAAAAATATACATTTTAACGAAAATCATGTAATGAACAAACTTATATCAATTAAATCTTAATAAATCGCTATTTATAGTGTTTTAGGAACATTCTTAGACTAGTATGAAAATGGGTTTTTATAGTGCTCAAAATAAGCTTTAGAATGAGTACTTCTGCGTGTAAAATGAGTAAACTATCATGCAAATAAAAGACGCATATAATGTTTTTTCATTTAAATCAAATAGTTTTTCAGTGCCATTTCCACTAAATTTAAAAATAATCGTACTCCATCTTGAATTAACTTGGTTTAAGAGATCTTGTGGATTCTAGAAAATACCACAACTTTAGTACAAACGATTTTAAAAAAACTCATGATTTCAAGAAAAAAAAACAAAAAAAACATCAAATTTCTCATTATAATATCTCTGAAAGAATACGTATAAAAGTATATATATATTATATGATTATATATATATATATATATATATATATATATATATATATGAAAATTCGAGGTATTTTTCTGACTAATTATTGTTGTTCATTATTTTTCCATTACACAAATATTGATAGAGGTATAAATTAAAGAGTGCGCGGCTCTCCAACCAGAGGTCTTTCGAGCCCTTTAACCCTTCGCCGTTTCACAATGAGAGAAGTTACGGTAAAGTTTATGATAGAGAAAGTTGTAGCTCATTTAATCACCTTTAAAATAGTGTATTACAAGTTCTGATAAAATCGGAATTAAAAGAGTGATAATCCAATTAATGCGGTGGATGGTGACGGAGTGCAAATTGTTTTTACTTCTGAACTTAAGATAAAGATTAGCCTATTTCCAAAATATCAAGTAAATTGGAGCACAGTAAAAAAATTCACAGAGCAATAATTTTGTTGATCGTAAGTTGAAGAGCACATGTGAACAGGATTTGACAAATTAATTCACCTCAAATATAAACTTAAGCAATAATGTATATTGATTTATTGGAGAAAAAAATGTAAGTTAGATATTAAAATTACTAAAAGCCAGTTAAAATATGGTACGAAATTATAAAAATTATAGGCAGCATTATTGAAGCAATTATTTTGGGTAGAAAAATAAAAGGTGATATTGCACCTTTGAATTTGTTGTATTTTTTGAAAGATTTCAATTTTCAACACGTGTATCTTATGCTATGACCATAAATCACAAAGGCAGACGATCATTTTTAGTGTGATAAATTTGGAAAATCAATGTTTTAGTCGTGAATAAACAAAAAATCATTCATTTATACATCCACATCTACAGGTATGACTAAAATACTATATAACCCTTAAATGCAATAAAATAAATTGAGCTATTGGAAATAAATTTGTTCTATAAATCGCAGTGTATAATTTTTAATATACAATTTTATTGAACATTTTTTAATATTTGTTAAATGAATAATTAAAGTGTTAACTGTGGGAATTGAGGACAATCATTTTATTTGAAACAGTTCTACATTCAACATCACTCATATATTGGTGTAAATAGTAATTCAAAAACAGTAATTATTATTTTTAACTAAGCAGTAAATATTAGTATAAAATATTGAAAAATTGTAGACGTGGTACAGAACAACGTCTGCCGGGTCAGCTAGTATATATATATAATATATATATATATCTTATTCATAATAATATATATATCTATATATTACCACCTAAGTCTGTTTTACACGGTCTTTTTGTACACGGTTTTGATAAAAACGGTTTGAAAATTGAATATTTTTAATTTTTTTACACGATTTCATTCCATTTAGCACGATTTGATATTTTATCTACTTAAATTTTTTTGTCAAATTATTTTTGCGATGTATGTTCATATCACAAAAAAGTACTTATGAAAGAAAAAAATCTGAAATCCATCGATAGTATCGATAGTTTGCGAACACTAGCTTAAAGATTTTAAGTAAATAAATTCCCCTTTAGGGCGTACAAACAATTTTACACTGGTCAAAGCAAATGTGAATAGCACTAATTTAGAGAAATTATTATTAAAATGAACATGAATTCTTGTTTTTCACTAATTTTAATAGGTTTTAGAGAGTAGGACAAATCACCCATTTTTGTATAAGATCAATGTCTTTTTTTACACGTTTTTTTTTTACACGGCTTCTTCTGGAACCAATCTCCGTGTAAAAACAGACTTAGGTGTATATATATATATATAGCCAGAGTTTCGTAAGTGGAATACCAAAACATGCCCACTTACATTTCAATAAACTTCAATAAAGATTTTAAGCCATCAGAATGGAGCTCGGTTCATAAAATCGACTTCTTAACCTATCGAGGACCTATCTATCTTTTCTGTAGTCAATATCATTTGCATTCAATATTATGTAAGTGGCGCAAAAAGCAAAGTTTATGATACGACTTTTATTAAAAATAATTTATAGGCATTTGGATCCTTGAGAAGAGCAAATAATATGTAAGTAACTGGCCCGAGGCCAAATGACCCATAATTATATGTCGTAAATGTTAAATTCGTTGTTCATGCTGCAAAGAAGTAGCTTAATATTGCTTATATAATAATAATAAGCACGTTGTTTGAAAGCAAGATCTTAGTATTGAAGTAACATTTTTTCCTTTCTTCTGTTTCCAGAAATTTATTTCACATTTAGTCTTGTCTTAGCTTTAAAATTCGTAAACATTTCTCTCTCAAATTAATTTTTTACTCAAATTGTTGACCATGTTAATACTTGTATGCATAGGGTACGGTTGTGCCACTTTTTTTAATCTGCAGTATATTTGTTAATGTACCAGTTTGCTGGAAAAAGTAAATTAAATGGCAATTTGAACATTTGTCTATGTAAAAATCCTGAAAATTCTAATTGCTGATAAATAACTACTAATGTTCAACTTACAGCAAAATAACAAACAACGTGATCTGTCTGTCCACAATTAAGTTATTATTAAAAGACTTTGAACATGAAAACTTACTTTTGACTCTTTAAAAGCAATGCGCTCTGTAGAATGACTGAAATCAATAATGGAAACATGTTTGAAAAAACATACTTCATCTTACTCCTTTTGGTTCATATCTTAAAATCAGTATAGTTTAGTTGTTAGGACGACTGTCACTACCGTACCCTGGCACAACCGTACCCAGCCTCTCTTCTACCTTTGTATGTTCATAGCAAAGAATAGAGAGGCAACAATAAATATGTTATAATGGGTTTGGATATAGAATACGATTATTAATAATAACAATAATGATTGTTCAAAGACAGGTTTTTAAACTGGGTTGAAATCTAACTCATAGCAGGTAAATTTGAGTGGGCAATGGGCATTATAAGGAGTTATCAATTTCCATTTTACAATGTAGCTTTCGGAAAAGCATATTTTCAAATAATAAATAAAAATATTTAAACAAATAAATAGAAACAACTTATCATTCACCCAAATTCACTAGCAAACTTCTAAATTAATAACAGAGAGCTATCGACGTAGATTAAAGAGAAAAGCGCCACTTGATTTAAGTCATCAATTTTCCTGATAAGGATTGAAATAACTTAGTTATTATTTATAAGAAATTATTTATAAGTAAATAGTTAAGATTATATCATTATCATTAAAATATTGTTAATATTAAAACGAATGGAAAAACAACTATTGAGTTGTTTTTCCAACATGTCAATATAGCATACAATGTCCCTTTACGGCTGACAATTGTAAATTTCCCAAATTTACTAAATGTCCTTAACTGGACAGTTGGTATTGGTATTTTGCTTTGAGGCAAGTTACATGAACTTCCCGATATGTGTAAATAATCGACTTAATCAATAAAAAATAAATTAATTTGAGTGATTAAAGTATGAAAACGAACGAACACGTTAACTCGGAATATTTTCTAAGAGCAAATTTTCAAAAATCAACAATTTTTATAATTGAATCAGTTTCCGTAGGACTTTAATGGTTTAGTGTATTCATTAAGACCAAGTACTCTATCGTTATACCAAGTAAATCGTCTAATTTTAATTTGAACAAACGTTTTTAAAATCGGTTCGGTAGATTGAGCTTAAATGTGGACGAAAAGTTTTACATTTTTATGCAAATTACGTCGTGCAAAACTGACCAACGATAAACCCCATCGAGATACATCAAATGGTTTTTAAATTTCTGAATTCGGTTCAGGCGTTTTTGAGAAAACGTCGATTAAATGTCTAATTTTGACAAATGCCAAAAAACGAAACCAATTTTTTGCAAACTTTGACGAATTTTCAAAGTTAAAAGAGTTGTTGTAGGGCCGTAATATTTTAGTATGATCTAGAAGAGTATGGTATCCATCGCAAAAAAAAATAATAAAAATCGTCGAAAAAATTTTTTTAATACTTTATTACAAGAAAACGGCCCGGCCGATCTCTACCAAAACTCATCAGTACGATTCCCAACCCATACATTTACAATTACATCTACAATATATTTCGAAAGGTTTTTGAATTTTCATAATCGTTTTAGAATTGCGGACTAAAACGTGGACGAAAATTTTTTCACATTTCTGCTATTTACAAAGAAACGGCTTGGCCGATCCACTAGATACATCGAATGGCTTTTAAATTTTTGAAATCGGTCTAGCCGTTTTTGAGAAAACGTAGATTTACGACAAAATCTGTTCACATACACACACACACACACTTTTTCCAAATTTGGTCTCATTCGATTCAGAATGGCTTGAAACGTCGAGAAAACATAAAATTAGCGAATCGGATTTTATGATAAAAACATAAACTTTTCCTTCCTTTAATAAAATAGAGAATAAAAAACATTCATCTTTATTTCAATTGAAAATTGATATCACTGCTACATGAAACACTTGGTTTGAAACGCGGGATCGAAAACAGGACATGATAAGTCGCACCGCGGTATACTTGCCATTACCATTATAATGATTATTATTGTTTTGGTACCTTTTCCGAAAGGAGTTTTATCGATTAGAAGCACTATTTTGTACATCATTTAGCAGTATTAATTTCCATGACTTATAATTAACATTTTAACAACCTATGATTATATGCTTATGTATTCTCCACTTGGACTTTCAATTTTCAAGTCGTCAATAATCTGCTTTCTTTTTCTTCCTCGTATTTTATGTTCTTCTATTTTCCAATCTATGACGTCATGTTCAGTTTGGTTTGCTTTTTGCAATCATATCCAGAGCACATGTCTTCCACCATTTATCGCTGTACTTCTACTTCTCCAGCACCACTTCCGAAAACTGTCCGGACAGATTTTGATGACTTTTCGATTAATTTTTCCTTAAAATTGTTAACTCTGATTCTCGTTTATTACTGTTTAATTATAGTTTGAAAATATATGAATTGAAATGTTTTCATTCTGTTTCAGATCAATATCAGGAAACAGGATACAGAGAATGGACTCTGACAGTTTGCCCCGACAGCTCGTTCTGCTCGACATGAGATCGACGGCTCTGAGCGAAGTGGCGGACGACACATTCCGACACATGACCCGACTGAGGAATATGTAAGTTATTTGTTTCTCAATTGACTTGCTATAGATTCTTCATTTACTAGTGAATCAGCTGTTGCCAACGTTGTTAAATGTTCGTATAATTTACTTACGATAATTCAACTTACATACCCAGTACATAGTCTTGAGGCAGACTTTAAAACTAAACCTACTAAGGCGGATCAAATTGACCGTTTCAAAATTCGCATATAACTTAAGAATTTTTAATCGTTAAAATACTATTATCAAACTATATGACAATTCTTAGAATATACTAATAATATTTGCTTCACTCTTTAATTTTAATTATTTTTTGTATTTTCCGAAAAAAATTATTATGTGGCCTAACAACCCAGTCGGTCAATCTGACCGGTGGAAAATAATGCAATTTTGGGAGCTGTTTTCATCGAAATGTAGGTGCAGATTTATACAAAATATACCAAACTAACTGTACCCTTCACGCTTTGCAGTCATTTAGTTTAAATTAAAAAGTTGCACAAAGATGTGTATTTATTACATTTAGTTTAGCGTTACTACTATCTGTTCAACAATTTATCTATTCAATAATTTGTTCACAAATTTACCATAAACTTGTTAATCAATCTACCATTTTACCGACTTACCAGTTTACCTGTCAACCTATTTACCTATCAACCCGTTTCACATGTCTACCAATAGGTAGGTAAATCAACTTGTTTATCCGTCTTGTTAATTGTCTATCTATCAGTTTATACGTCCTGTCAACCATTTTACATATCCTTCAATTTACCTGAACACCAGCTATTCAACAAATTACCTTTTCACCAATTTTCTTGTCTACCAATTCACCTATCTATCAATTTACCTGTCTACCAATTTACCTATCGACCTGTTTATCAATACACTATTTTAGCTGCCATCTTGTTATAAATGTCTACCAAATTAACCTATTCAATAAGTTACTTGTTGAACAATTTACCTGCTTAACAATTTGTCTACTAATTTACCTATCAACCTGTTTATCAATCTACCATTTTGCCGACCTACAAATTTACCTGTCATCTCGTTCTACATGTCTACCAATTAACCTGTCAACCTGTTTATTTGTCTACATATTCGGCTAAATACCAGTTCTCCTCTCTACCATTTTACATATCCTCCAATTTACCTGATCACCAGTTTATCTTTATAAATTCTCTAATTCACCTTATTTTATTTACGCATTATAAAAAAATTAATGCTCAAATTGATTCTACTTTTTAGTTTTTTTTTTAATTTCAATAATTATTACAACTGCTAAATTTACATAAAAAGGATAAAATTTACATGAAAACAATATCCGAAATATGATTTGATATAAAATATAAGCAAATAATAATAAAAATAAAATTAATAAATAATATAAATAAAATTTCTGAATGATAAAATAATACTAGAAAAATAATAAAATATAACAAAATAACAATAATAGAAATAGTAAGATAATAATAATAATAATAATAATAATAATAATAATAGTAATAATAATAATAATAATAATAATAATAATAAAATGATAATTTACAAATTTGAGATCGTTTGGAATTTTTCGTTTTAGCCTTGTTTGTTTTAGTTAGAAAACGTTTGTATGTGAAAAAGAAAAGATCGGTTTTAGGGTTTTCCCGACGATTATTCAATTTTTTATCGCCGTAAGAACCATCCTTGGACATCAACGAACATTTTAAAAAAAGAATTTGTCAAATTGGTCCAGGCGTTGTTGAGTTATGCGCTTACCAACACATTTTGCGATCCATTTTTATATATAAGAAGAAGAGATGAACCAGACAAATTTAGAATAAAGTTCTGGATGGTGTGTGAAGTCAATTGTAAATATGTAATAAATAAATGGGTTCCTCTATTTGGGAAATGACAAGAGGAGAGATTGTTCAATTTTTCAATTGGATACTTCATTGTTTGAGACTGATAAATTTAATTACAAATTTTGAAAAAAATGTATAAATCATATTTTATTACTCTCACGGTACATAAAAATACCTGAAAAAATGCTTGTCCCAATTTTCAAACATTATCCAAATAGGAGAAAGCAGCAAAAGCGTTCCGAAAACTATTAGATTATGTATTAGCACATTGTTTGTTGAAAATGTAGCAGACCAGATGGCTAAGAAATGTTACATGAAGTCGAAAATTTGTAGGTGGCAACTTTGGAAATATTTCAACATTTTGATCCTAGCTAGATAAATGCGTAAGTCGTTCATAGAGAGACGACGAGTAAAAGCATTTCTAGGTATGTTTTCTTGTTTTAGTTATTTTTTAACTCAGCGTTGCATATTCAAAATTTCAAGTAAATCAAGTTTTTATCAATACTGTTCATAAGTTCGGCTTTGCACGGACGAAAAACTAGTCAAATAGAATTTTGCGAAAATTACAAAACAACAAATATATTTGCGTTAAGTGCATATTTCAGACCAAAATACTTGGTAAACAATGTGAGAAAGCCGAATAAAGTATATTATGTATGCATATGGAATTCTGTATAAATATTTAATTTTAATTGCGTTTTTCTTATAATTTCTTTTAGAAACGATATAAAAATAAATTTGATTAAAAAATCAATCATTATCTGAATTAAATAATAAAATAGATAACTTTTTAATTATAGGTCAATTTGACCGTCCCCGGTAGGTATAGGCCTACATAAATTGTCGGTAGGTTTAGTATTAAAAATAAAGTGGTGGATCCTTTTGCCCACTGACTTTTTACTCCATCTATGGTGTTAAATACCAATCAACCAAAAAATATCAACTGACAAATTTTTGAAACAATGATGAATTATCCGGGAATTTACTGAACATATTTAGATATTTGTTTGTTTGATACGTGTTATTTGTTGTGATGTAGCTGGTTTGGTTTCCACTGTATAATTGCTAAAAGTCAAATTGGCCTTTTTTTATTCACCCTATTCTATTACCAATAATTATAAATTATAAATATAATTGATAGTATAATTGCTGAAAGTCAAATTATTTTATTTTATCTTATTTTATCCATCCTATTCTATTACAAATGCTTAAAAGCAAAATATGAAAATCAGGTATCAAAAAGAATCATATTGGAATTTATTAACCTCGATTTCACAGCATCCCAAATATTTTTATTCTTTCAAAACTTTCTATTAAACTTTATAAATAAAGTTTACTTGTAACATCAGAGAAAAACAAATAAGGAACTTCAGTGAACGGGGCTAAGATTAGCGTGATAGAATCAGGGAAAATTATGATCATTAATTTTAATTATATTTCTTGGGTAAATCTAAAACGTGCTCAGTAACACAGAAGATTATAGTCCAGAACAAAGCAGACTCATATATATATTAAGGGTTCCGTATAAATATATGTTCAAAAAAATAATTTTTCATCGTTTATTGAATAGCGGTGATTTTTTATATGTTTCTTTACCATATATACTAAAGTATTAAAAATCGAATTGTATTAGAGCGCATTATAAAGAATATTTTCAAAAATTCGGGACAATCCTGGACAAAAAATATTAATCCGGATCATATTGCTTCTAGAAAAATCTGGACATATGATCACCTCAACCATAGATATTTACATATATTTCTCCATTCCATTTTTAATTAACTTCCCGAAGGAGAAGTTTGTTTTTATCAAAAAATTCGATTCGATAATTTTATGTTTTCTCGACGTTTCAAGCCATTCTGAATCGAATGAGACCAAATTTGGAAAAAAATGTGGTGTGTATGTGAACAGATTTTTTGCCGTAAATCGACGTTTTCTCTAAAAACGGCTGGACCAATTTCAAAATTTAAATATTATTTGTGCGACGATCGGCCGAGCCGTTTCTTTGTAATTTGAACAAAAGTTTTAAACTTTTCGTCCACATTTAAGCTCATACTACTATGGACACATAATTTTATTCTGCTTTTCTTAAACATAGAGTTTGCTTAAATCTTATCAAGATTATGTTTCTTGACAGATGTCCTGAAGATAGAATGTACCTAGTTCCAAAACGTCGACAGTTAATTAATAAAGCAATGGTTTTTAACTTTTTTGTTTTTTTTTACTCTTGGGAGAACATCGTCTGATTTAAATGTATTAAAAATATTTTACATATGGAATGAAACGTGGATTAAATTTTTATGAAGGCAAGTCTACCGGTTTTCCGAGATCCCAGATACCAAAAAGTTGCAAAAATCTCATTTGGTTACTTTTTTCCGATAACATCATTAGAAATTATTTTATCTTTCGTTAAAATAAGACTGGAATATTATACGAGAATATACGTATTAGATTTTAAAAAATTAATGTGCTCTTCGTATAACGGCGGATTGAATCTTCAGTCGCATGTAATCTCGTTAATGTCAGTTTTTGTAAGAATCTCATTAAAGGCCACGATAACTACAATGCCGGTACCCATTACCACCCTTGATGTTTTAGCTTTTCGTATTTTTGCTCACTCAGAGTCACTCTATGGACTTTTTAATCTCTGATTCAGGAATAACAAAAAATACCAGAAAGGCCTGGTTAACTTGTACAGTAAAGCGCTGTCAGATTGATTAATTTCATTTTGGACATGATTAATAAATATTTACTATAATAAGCTAGTGGTGTATGACATCGTGATTTAAGGCGAATTGCTGGAACTTCCCGTACCGTAACGAAATGTTCGAGGAATATTAAATGTTTTCAAATAGATTATTATAAATAAATACTGTAACATTATCTAATATTTATAAGAATTATATAAACTGAATTGCAAATTTCAAAATACTTGTTCAATGTATATTACGGATCAACCGATTTGAATGGTTCAAAAAACATTAGATTTCTATTGATAGGGAGATGTGCTGATTAGTTTTTGGCAAAGGCAGGTCCAGCAGTTACGGAGATAAAGAGCAAAGAGTGCAGAACATTGAAATCGAGTTTTGAGAGAACGGAGCATCCGATTTGAATGATCTAAAAAACATTCAATTAGTAATGATTGGGAGAAGTGGTTATTAGTTTTTGACAAAGGCAGGCC